AAGTGGACTGTATTTTATTGTTGCTCGCGAATCGTTATTAATTAAAACGATCGACGAGACTTTCGTCCTGAACAGCGGAGAATTGACTCGTAACTGTCGGAGGCTCTGTGTCGCCACGGACGGGTCACCAAATGGAGGTCGTAAAGCTCCAAGTGTGTGGATCCCGTGAGCACGCTCACCGCGCAGATCGACGTAGGTACGTCGTGCAAGGGAATTTCCTACAACGCTTTATAACTACTACACAGCGACCGATTATTTCGGGGGACTGTGCAGTAAACGAATTTACAGTAGGAAATCCCAAGCAGGTCCACCCTCACTATAAAGCCTACCCGGCGACCGTTTGTACGGGGACCGTATGTGGTAGGCGGCGTGAAGAGTGGGAGGCGCTTTGAACCCGAACTCCGCCGGTGGGTGTACGGTCGACTCGTACACCAACGGGGTTTTCGGATAGGGTTCGCAGTGACCTTTGCACGGAGAGCTCTCCACGAGGCGGTACCGAACTATCGGTAGGACCTTTGGGAGGCTCCCAAGCCGTATAGCTTTGAAGGGATTCTAGGTGCGTGCACCCTGAGTCCCTTACGTCGCGGTCGCGGCAACGACTGCAACGTACAATCAACTTCTCGCGTCCGCGGTCACGTCACGCGCTGCGTGCACTAGACCACTTCCTTCGCTTAAAGAGATTGTTCTTTTTTGAAATCTCAAATCGCAGCAACGATGAGAATTCTTTACAGAGTCCAAAATTTATTTCTTGCCGAGAAGCGTTTTGCTTGCTCGGCGGAGCGCGTACTTTGAGGAGCGAGATCGTCTGGGATCCGCTCCCGTTGGCAGTCGGCTCGTGAATAATTTCCAAAATCGTCGAGCATCGACAGACGAAGACTCGGTCGCGCCTCGTCGTCGCGACGTGGCGCTGTCGAATCTGATTGTCGATCTCTTTTCAATTAACGATACGGTTCTCTCTCTCGATGCTGACGTCACTATGCCGTTTAAATGGCGTTTGAAGCGAATCTTCGCGTGAGGTCAGCGTACAAAACACGTAAACGGCCGCGGTTTTAAACTGTCTGTACGCCGAACGAACTCGGCGACAGCCTAACCTTCCGGAATGTCACGTACACAAACGGATACGGGACTCGCGGCCGAGAAATAATATTTCACGGACGAACGCGAATTTAAATAGTTTTGAACATATTTAAACAACCAGAGTCATTGCTTCGGGTGATTACCATGCACAGCCCAGACCACAGACGAGATATATGAATAGACCTTTCACGTAATGTAATTTTTCGGCCGGAGTTTCTGGGGTCCCGGGACCCCATTACCATTTTCGTGTCACTCGCTACGTTATCAACAGATTCAGAAATTAACACAAGAGGAAGTGAGACAGAAATAAAATTACATAAATTTTATTATTTTTAACGGAATTAAAGCTGTAGGGTCCATCATTGGACATTAATCGATTAATTTCATTGGAGAAATCAATCGATTAAGAGTATTTCAAAATTTCAAGATTATTAAAATTCCTAAGGATGTATTTCATTGATACGTACACCGCAAATTCTCTATTTTTTATTTTAAATTGTAATACATCATTTATTAAAAAAATAACTCGGCAGAAAACGTATTTGCGACTCGAAATCAGTTTAATCAGACTGTGCATCGGGGCCCCCGGAAACTTCTCATTCCTCACTTTCGCACACTATGCCCGATTGCGTGTACGTGAGCTCGTTGAGTTTCGGAAGAGCCGAGAAGAACAGGCTGATACTCGCTTTCCTTCTCGCTCTTGCATCGCTGACGTCGCTTACATTTCTCGAAAGCAAGCCTGCTGGCATCGCCACCCTTTCGAATCGTCAGTAAACGACAAAAGCCATCGTGACTGACAGACCTTACATTTCTCGAAATCGGACCTGGGCGCTTTTTGAAGATTCATTGACTTTCCATACAAAGCGACCATGCGTTATATACATATACATGTTATACATGCTAGGAACTATAAATTGTATAACTTTCGTTGTATATCTACTTTCTAATAACATGGGAAAATTTTAAAATATAAAAAAATGTAAGAATACTGTAGAATTTTTGCAATGGAGAATTATTGAAAGAAAATGAGGTAATTATTTAGAAAAGGCCGGGTCTCACCGATTTCGATGATTTTTGAATATGTTGTAGAAATCAACATTTTGAGCAACTTTTTCCTATACATATAACCGCCGCTCGGCCTTAGTTTCCGAGATTTTTCTTCAAAAAGATCGCTACTACTACAATGAATTCTGTCTATATGTATGTCGGAACAGCCGTCTCTCTGACCATTCCCTCTGGGCGACTCATATTAGGTCCTCTCGGGCGACCAAGCCTTTGTCTTGAAGATCTACGCATTTCTATTACTCTTAAAACTTTCAACGAAACTAATTAAACAAACTGAAACTATAACTCAAACACTTTTTAACAACACAAAAGAATGCACAACGATAACGAATGAGTCCTTTACAGGGAATCTCTTTTTCTATTTCTTTACCGCACGTCTTTACAGTCTGGCAACCGTTTTAGTTCTGTTCTTTTCTTTTCGATTACTTCTTTTTTCAAACGTTTCGGTAACCAGACAACCAACTCGACTACCTTCAAAGGCCACATCCAAACGTCAATGCCAACCTGACGCTCGTTTGCGTTACCGATGGCATTCTTTGCATCGATTGAATTTAAGTATCGATTAGAGCCAACATAACTTTATTTACACAACGTGAAGTAACATTCAATTAGAGCAGAAGCTTTTTATTGGATTCCGACATACATATGTATATATCGGACACATCCCTCGCAACACGCTGCAAACATTAATGAGAACAAAACTGCAAATCTGTCCTTTTTTAAAACCCCGCAACGGATCTTTGACTCGGAACTCGTCCTCTTCATTTAGCAATTATAATAAACGTAGACTCATTAAAATTCGTAAAAATAACAAGTTATAGCCATTTAGAGGGAAGAGTACCCAACGGTTAATAATCATACCAGAAATTTTAAATGAGTTTTTCTCGAAACCATATTTCGAAATTGGCTGACATGATATCACAAATTCATATTGATTAATGGATTTGAAATTTATAGAGACATGCCTGTATGTTAGAAATTTTGCCTTTGACGGTTCTGGGGTAAGTCCTGTGCCGTTCCTCACAGTGCTCTTACCGAAGGTCCCACGCCTTCCCCACTCCGTGGCCAGATCCTTCAGGACAAAGTCTTCATTTTTTCCAGCAATACGACGTCAGGTCGTCTGCCTCTTTTAACTACTCTCTCTCTATTCATAAACAATCAATGCCTCGACACGCGCTACCTGGAGACCCAACGCGGTCGTCCGCTATCGCGTCACCCGTTGCCAGGCCTGTTTAGTCTCATTCGCTCTTTAGGCCGCATGCACCCCAAAACTCTGTCATAAATGTATCGTAGACTGAGCGTCCTTCAGTGGTCCTTACATTCGACTCTCTTGGAAAATACATTGTCGCTAGCGTTTCCGGGAAAACAAAAGCCGATCCCCTATTTCGGGAGAATGTCCACGCGTCGCGTCCAACCATTGTTGCCGTGGCGAAATCGACTTTTTTGCCTTCGCCTTCGAAAAAGATTAAGTAAAAGAATTTCCCGGACGTCATTCGATGGTGCCCTCGGTACCTAACGGTGACCGATGGCTTGGAGGCGGTCACTTGTAATATGTTCAACAAATACTTCTCCAATCAGGGAAAACGACCGCCTTCCCTGACAAAATTCAAAACACCACAGCAGCCAATCCGCGTGCCTCATCCCCGTCAGAACCCAAGGCCGATTTGTATTTAAGGGTAGCTTTTCTGACGGGGAGAGAGATAACAACAAAAAGTTTGAATCGGTTACCATCATATACACATTTTTTAAACCAGGAAACAAAGTTAAACAAGAAAGGTGAAGACCGCACTGTAGTAGACTAAGATAGATTATTAAATATTAATTGTATAAATAGTAAAATAGTTAATTGTATCTCAATTATTACACCAACCACCAAATATTCAAGCGCTATTAAGTTACCGCTTGAAGCGCATCACAGAACCAGAAAAAGATAAATGTGCGCGCTGAACATGGTCCTTCGAGCCGGATTCTTTATTACTATAGTAAAGATTTTAAACATTGAATAATATATTGGTGCAAGTGCAGTTAATTATAAGAACACTCAATAAACAATCTATCGGTGCTTAGTGCAGTGCATTGAACTACACAACAAAATCAGTAAGATTGTATTATGAGCGGGCAATCCATTCGGAGACCAGCCGTCGGAGTATTGTTATTAAACAATCAAATTCAACAATCTTACAACACTCTGAGCGGACAATCCATTTGGAGAGCAGCCGTCGGAGTATTGTTATTAAACAATCAAATTCAACAATCTTACAACACGTGCTGAGCGGACAACCCATGCGGAGAGCAGCCGTCGGAGTATTGTTATTAAACAATCAAATTCAACAATCTTACAACACGTGCTGAGCGGACAACCCATTCGGAGAGCAGACGTCGGAGTATTTGTTGGTGAACAATCAGTTCAACAACACATTCATCATCAACTTACGTAACGGACATCATTGAGAAGCAGCCACGAGAGCAGCGACGGAACGTGGGATTTCATTCACCTGGACAATCAGTTCAACATTCATCGAATCGACATATCATCATCTAATAATTCAACAACAACGAAGAAAGCAACAGCGCTATTGCAGAAGTCATCGCTCGAGTAAGCTCAAAAATCACCATTCAATCAATCCTTATCTATAACATCCATTATAATTCAACCGATTCGATTTCGATTATTCTTTTGAAAAATGGCGTTGTCAGAAAATTTAAAAACATTAATTAAAACTCGAACAGCTATTAAAGCAAACGTTACGCGGTTAATAACATATTTCAATACCCACCCGGATGCGGAAATAGATGAAATTCAGAACCGCAAAGCAAAATTAGAAGAAGCCTACGAAGCCTTCTCAAAGGCTCAATTACAAATTGAAATTGTAGCAGAGAAAGAAAATCAAACAAATATGGATCATGAAACTCAACGATCGCAGTTTGATGATCAATATTTTGCGTGCGCTAAATTAATAAGTATGCGACTTCGCGAAATCAATTCAGTAGAACTGCCGGTAGCTAGGACATCAAATTTAGCTTCGCATTCTTCTTCGCCGATAACTATAAAACAAACCAACAATCTTCTGCCAAAAATAGAGATCCGTCCCTATGATGGAAATCTTGTTAATTGGTACAGTTTTCATGATACCTTCAAAAATTTAGTGCATGATAATGATGAATTGATACCAGTTCACAAATTCTATTTATTGCAAAATGCACTTCAAGGCCCATTAACTTCAATAACGGAAAATTTAAATGCTTCGGAAGAAAATTATTTGGTGGCTTGGAATACTTTAAAACAAAGATGCAACAAACCACGCCAAATCATTCAAACTCACTTACAATTGTTATTGGAACTTCCAGAAATTTATCGTGAAACTCCTGCCAATCTACGTTCTTTGGTAGAAAAGGCACAGGTTTACATAAACGCTTTAAAAGCTTTAAATCAACCGGTTGATCAGTGGGATGCATTACTCGTTTACATAATAGTCAAGAAATTGGATAAGGGCACGCGTCGAGTTTGGGAACGTACGTTAGAGGACGAGGAAATGCCGGCTTTTAAACAATTATTAAAGTTTCTCGGCAAACAAGCACGGGGTGATGAACTCGACACAATTTGCTTTGACGCGAATAAATCAAACACACAACATAACAATTACAATTCAAAAATGCCATATAAAAAACGAGCTAATCACATTCAATCGCACGTAGGTACACAAGTGCAGATTCAATGCCCTATCTGCGGTCAAAATCATGCAATCTACACATGTAGTAAATTTTTACAAACAAATGAAAAGGGACGTTTCGAATTAGCTCGAAAGGCAAAACTATGTCTAAATTGCTTAAAAAATAATCACCAAACAAGCAAATGCTATCTTAGTGGTTGTAAGAAATGCAATTACAAGCATAATACGCTTTTGCATTTTAACGAAACACACAAGGCGCGTAATCAGAATTCCATAAACAACACTGTCGAATCAAACATTCAGAATAGAGAAGAACAACCACCAGTAAATCTAGTGGTATCATCCGAGTCGGAAGTATTGTTAAGAACAGCCTACATTAAGATTTTAGATAAGGACAAGAATGAATTTCCGTGTAGAGTACTTTTAGACGGAGGTTCACAAACGCATTTTATAACGGAAAGGTTAGCTGATCGTTTAAGATTAGATAAAACGAGAATAGACTCACCATTTTCAGGTTTAGGGCAAAATCTAACTAAGGCACAATATACGGTCAAAACAACTATTAAATCTCGAACAACTCCATTTTCATGCGATTTAACCTTAGTAGCTTTACCTAACATAACTGGTTTATTGCCTTCTCGAAAAATTGACAAGGATAATCTATCTATTCCTAAAAATATTGCGTTAGCTGACCCAAATTTCCATAAATCAGCCAAGATTGAAGCTTTACTCGGCAACACTCTATTTTATCAATTGTTAAGTGTAGGTCAAATTAAATTGTGCAATAATTCAGTAATATTGCAAAAAACTCGACTTGGATGGATTGTAATAGGAGAAGTTAATCTTTACAATAACCAGTCAAACAAGAAAAAAACATGTCTTTTGACAACAAACCTTGAAAAACAAATAAGTAAATTTTGGGAGATCGAAGAATTGCCTAATAAAAAACACCTTTCTAGCGAAGAGTTAGCATGTGAAACACATTTTATTCAAAATATTGATCGAAATACGAACGGAAGATATACGGTACGATTGCCATTTAATGAGAAAAGGGATGGTATCGGAGAATCACATAGGATGGCTTTAAAACGTTTTTATTCTCTAGAAAAACGGTTAGAATCGAGTCCAGAATTAAAAAAACAATATAGTGCATTCTTAAAGGAGTATATAGAGTTGAAACATATGACTGACATAACCAATGCAGATGATCTACACATCGGTTATTATTTACCGCATCATGCGGTAATAAAGGAATCAAGCGCGACCACAAAAATTCGGGTAGTCTTTGATGGATCTGCAAAAACATCATCCACTCTTTCACTAAACGATACATTAATGCAGGGTCCTACAATTCAAGACGATCTGATTTCTATAATTATGCGTTTTCGTACTCATCAATTTGTATTAACTGCCGACATTGAAAAAATGTTTCGGCAAATTCAAGTACACCCAGATGATGCAAAATTCCAAAAAATCTTTTGGCGTGAAAATAAAAATGAACCTATCAAAACGGTAGGCACGGGTAATGCAGCGCGCTGTAAACCGACACAATTTGGCCCGAAATAGGGGGTTTCGAAATAAGAGATTTTGCCCTTATATGAGCAGCTTTTGGGTCGAATGAGGTCTCATTCGAAAGAGGAAGGTCCAATGCAGTGCGCTCTGGTCAGAATCGAACGAGATTGTGTTCATATTTATTAATATCAACGTCGAAAGTCGAGAAAAAAATGAATGAAATACAGCCACAGAATCGAGGTCTTTTTAGGTTACTAAAAGAGTTGTACGATTCCAATACTGACCAGAGCGCGCTGCATTGGACCTTCCTCTTTCGAATGAGACGTCATCCGACCCAAAAGCTGCTCATATAAGGACAAAATCTCTTATTTCGGAATTGCATTCCCACAAGCGAGTTCCGCCATTACATGGGTAATAGCAGAGCAAGTCACGTGACAAATTTAGTTCAGGCAGTCGCTACGAGATGGCGCCTAATCAAGAGGGCTGTGAAGGTGAAACCATACCAAAGTGAAGCGTTAGCTTCGATACATAGGCCCGTCGCCCCCCACCCCGAGAAAGCCAGATGCTGACAACCTAACCCATACTTCGATTCTGCGGCTGTATTTCGTTCATTTTTTCCTCGACTTTCGACGTTTATATTAATAAATGTTAACAGAATCACGTCCGATTTTGACCAGAGCGCACTGCATTGGACCTTCCTCTTTCGAATGAGACTTCATCCGACCGAAAAGCTGCTCATATAAGGACAAAATTTCTTGTTTCGAAAACCCATATTTCGGGCCGAATTGTGTCGGTATACCGCGCGCTGCATTGCTCGTGCCTACCTCCTTCGGTGTCTTTCAATCGTCGATTCATTTTTGCTCATTTATTATTAACAATAAATCCAACATAGAGTCTCCCACGAAGCGGGATCTATGCAGGTGATTCAGTATTGGAATCGTACAACTCTTTTAGTAACCTAAAAAGACCTCGATTCTGTGGCTGTATTTCGTTCATTTTTTTCTCGACTTTCGACGTTTATATTAATAAATGTGAACAGAATCTCGTTCGATTTTGACCAGAGCGCACTGCATTGGACCTTCCTCTTTCGAATGAGACTTCATCCGACCCAAAAGCTGCTCATATAAGGGCAAAATCTCTTATTTCGACATAATTGAGTACATCGAAATCGACAGTAATGACGGCGAACATCCTTAGCGTCTAACGTAGTGAAATAAAGAACGCTAGTGTGAGCCTTTCCTTCTTGCTCTTGTAAAAGAGAAACAACTGAAACACGACCTCGCGATAAGCGGCATACGATTCCAAGCCTCGACTGCCCCAGCATTTTTACTTTCCGACCTATGTAAGGTATAAGGAAATTTATGAAGTATCATAATGTAAAAAAAATGTCGAAATTTTTTTTAGCGGAAATACACGTTTTAGGACCCCCTGATCATATTGTGACTATTAAAAAAAAAGACTTTTTTTTTGTTCCTATTACATATAAACGGCTGAATGAATTTCAATGAAACTTTACATTTCAGTTTTATGTTCTCGTTTCAAGGTCTGATTAGATTTTGAGCGTGATCAGCCCCCGGATAATGATGATTATACGACTTTTAGTTTTATAATTATTTCGATACATATACATTATTTGTAACAAATTTTGGGATTATTTAGACAAGGGGGAGGTCTCACCGATTTTGATGATTTTTGAATATGTTGTAAAAATCAACATTTTGAACAACTTTTTCCTATACATATAACCACCGCTTGGCCTTATTTTTCGAGATTTTTCTTCAAAAAGATTGCTGCTACTGCAATGAATTTTGTCTATATGTACATGTCCGTGACTCTGTATGCGTCAGTCCACGATCGCCGATTTTTTCTCTTGTTTGTGACAAGAAATAATGCACAATGTGTGAAGCTAAATCTAGTTCTGTATTGCTGTCAATGGTTCGAATATTCCGAAGTATGGAACTCGCCAAATACATTATGTAGGCTATTTAGCTGAATTCTTCTTCCATCGACAATATGATTTTAATGATCGAATAATGAAATGTTTCCCACTTCTGATAATATCAATAGAGAAAATTGAAATAGAAAATGAATACGTGGCCGACCGCCTTACGGCGGCCGGTATAAGAAAATCTAACCCAGACCTAATCCATTATATTAGTTACTAGGTAGAATAATTAGGTTTATAAGGGTTAGATGTTTTTATGCCGGCTGCCGTTAGGCACACCCATTGTCGGCCGCCTCGATGCATCTATAGAAACAATGAACAATCGGCGATTGAACGCTTACACACACGCTGCCACAGCATGTACTTACGTATAGATAGAATTCATTGCATGTAGTAGCAGCGATCTTTTTGAAGAGAAATCTCTGAAACTAAGGCTGAGCGGCGGTTATATGTATAGGAAAAAGTTGTTCAAAATGTTGATTTCTATAACATATTCAAAAATCACCGAAATCGGAGTTACCGTCCGTAATCTAAATAATTACCCACATTTAATATTTAATAATCGTCAAGCACAAATTACTACAGAAAGTTATCGATTCCATATGGATCTCGGAATCGATCAAGTTTTGAATCGGCCAATAGTTTTGCGAGTTTGGAGTCTGACAATACTTTCCAGGTTTTCAAATGTTTCCAATCCGGCTAGAGCGCGCACGCGTTACCTCTCTACTTGAGCGAATATTCAAAGTAAGTATTGCAGCCTTTCGCTACATTATTGTCTACAATTTCATACCCTACATTATTCACGAAAATAAATGTTACTTTATTTTGTACAGTAAAATTTTCAAATGAATGCATAGTAATCAAGTTTTTTTGGAAACATTATTGTGGAAGATTTTAGAGTGGGGTTGCATGTTGATTAAAATAAAATATTGCCGCGAAAGTCTTCTTCATTTATATACACGCTTCGTGGGAGAGTATGTGTTGGATTTACTATAAATAATAAATGAGCAAAAATGAATCGACGATTGAAAGACACCGAAGGAGGTAGGCACGAGCAATGCAGCGTGCGGTATACCGACACAATTCGGCCCGAAATATGGGTTCTCGAAACAAGAAATTTTGTCCTTATATGAGCAGCTTTTCGGTCGAATGAGGTCTCATTCGAAAGAGGAAGGTCCAATGCAGTGCGCTCTGGTCAAAATCGAACGAGATTCTGTTCACATTTATTAATATAAACGTCGAAAGTCGAGGAAAAAATGATCGAAATACAGCCGCAGAATCGAGGTATGGGTTAGGCTACTAAAAGAGTTGTACGATTCCAATACTGAATCACCTGCATAGATCCCGCTTCGTGGGAGACTCTATATTGGATTTATTGTTAATAATAAATGAGCAAAAATGAATCGATGATTGAAAGACACCGAAGGAGGTAGGCACGAGCAATGCAGCGCGCGGTATACCGACACAATTTGGCCCGAAATAGGGGGTTTCGAAATAAGAAATTTTGCCCTTATATGAGCAGCTTTTGGGTCGAATGAGGTCTCATTCGAAAGAGGAAGGTCCAATGCAGTGCGCTCTGGTCAAAATCGAACGAGATTCTGTTCACATTTATTAATATAAACGTCGAAAGTCGAGGAAAAAAGTCGTGGACTGACGCATACAGAGTCACGGACATGTACATATAGACAAAATTCATTGCAGTAGCAGCAATCTTTTTGAAGAAAAATCTCGAAAAATAAGGCCAGCGGTGGTTATATGTATAGGAAAAAGTTGTTCAAAATGTTGATTTTTACAACATATTCAAAAATCATCAAAATCGGTGAGACCTCCCCCTTTTCTAAATAATTGCCAAAATTTGTTACAAATAATGTATATGTATCGAAATAATTATAAAACTAAAAGTCGTATAATCATCATTATCCGGGGGCTGATCACGCTCAAAATCTAATCAGACCTTGAAACGAGAACATAAAACTGAAATGTAAAGTTTCATTGAAATTCATTCAGCCGTTTATATGTAATAGGAACAAAAAAAAAAGTCTTTTTTTTTAATAGTCACAATATGATCAGGGGGTCCTAAAACGTGTATTTCCGCTAAAAAAAAATTTCGACATTTTTTTTACATTATGATACTTCATAAATTTCCTTATTGTACCTTACATAGGTCGGAAAGTAAAAATGCTGGGGCAGTCGAGGCTTGGAATCGTATGCCGCTTATCGCGAGGTCGTATTTCAGTTGTTTCTCTTTTACAAGAGCAAGAAGGAAAGGCTCACACTAGCGTTCTTTATTTCACTACGTTAGACGCTAAGGAAGTTCGCCGTCATTACTGTCGATTTCGATGTACTCAATTATGTCGAAATAAGAGATTTTGCCCTTATATGAGCAGCTTTTGGGTCGGATGAGGTCTCATTCGAAAGAGGAAGGTCCAATGCAGTGCGCTCTGGTCAAAATCGAACGAGATTCTGTTCACATTTATTAATATAAACGTCGAAAGTCGAGGAAAAAATGAACGAAATACAGCCGTAGAATCGAGGGCTGGGTTAGTAGTATATGTATACCTGCTATCCCCACCACTCTGTTAGACGCTAAGGAAGTTCGCCGTTACTATTGTCGATTGGTCACACTGTTCGGAATGGTATATGGCAATAGCAAGCAGCTGCCTCTGATTTCTTTAGGCGGCAGCGTATCTGATGGTATTACCATTTCTGTGCATAGAATATCTGCTGTAATACCGACCTGCCGAATCGGCGAGGTCACGTGCCGTGCCTACCCCCTTAAACACGGTTACTTATGGGACTACTTCAGCTCCATTTCTCGCGGTTCGTTGTTTAAAACAATTAATAAAAGACGAAGGACATAAATATCCATTAGCTGCAGCAATACTTGACCGTGATTTTTATGTCGATGATCTGCTCACTGGAACAAATGATCTGAATCAAGCCCGGCGTTTAATAGATCAGTTAATTAAATTACTAAATTTAGGAGGTTTTAATTTACGCCAGTGGCTGTCAAATGAGCCAAAGCTTTTAAAGGAACTAAAGAATTCCTCCACATCTCAGCTCGTATGTTTAGACGCCAATGAAACAAAAAAGGTTCTCGGAATTCAGT